TCTAGGGTGGCCCTGGCCAGGTTAACCCTTCCCTGGCTCTGAGCACTAAGCCTCACTAGGGGGGAAGTCCGGTATAGATGAACATAATGAGATTGCTGTAGATTGCTTTCAGACCCTTATGGAACCTTTCTAGGGTGGCCATGTCCAGACTATCCCTTCCCTGCTCGTAGGGACTGAGCTTAACAGGGAACTCTGTTGAAGGTCAATAGAAATGCAATTGATGAAAATGTCTTCGAGACTCTTTCTGGAATTGCCTGAAGTCCCTTCAGTAAGAAAAGACCATGCCATTAAAAATCTAACAACTTCCCAAATTTGTATCCTTTAACAAACCCAGCACCCCCTTATGGAAAAGCCCTCAGTCAGTAAGACTGCGATAAGTAGCTGCCAGTAAAGTACGTCAGTAAATCTAGACAAGAGCCCGCTGATACAATTTGGCCTGTACCTGTGCCTGTTGCTTTGACTTTATCACCCTTATAAAAACTGCACTGGTCAGTAAGGATATAGCGCACCTTCTACCTGTTAGTAAAAGTGTCAGCTTACAAGCCCAGTCTCTTTTTTTTTGCTAGCGTTACCCCTTCACTTGCTTTGCTTTACTTTAGTTGTAAACGTTACATTGTAAAGTTATAAAAAAAAAACAGGAAATGTTCATTTTAAACGTTAACATAAAAAAAACAAAAAACAAGCCTTTGAAAGTAAATGTCAAGTCTAGGCAGCCGGCGGAGAGGGGGTTAAGCCATGACTGCATTAAAAACACGATGTGTCCTTAATTATACATGTAAATGAGATCAATTCTGTTTAATCTCGAGCGCAATGCATCTGTTTTCATTTTTACTTTTACGTATGAAATCATGGCTGCATATGCAGAAAAAAAAGGACTAACAGGAGCAAAAAATTAAATAAAAAATCCCCCCCAGACTTATAAATAGCAATTATATAACATTCACATTCCCATATAAAAGCTGGATTTCACCTACAAATAGAGCACAATGTGCCCCCGATGTGTAATATGGGTATAATGTACTGATGCTACACTGCAGTTAATCTGGAGTAATGGTATAGCATGTTGGATGTACAGCATCTTATTAAACATACGAGGAAACGGCTTTTTGCAGATAGGATCTTATTCCTCTCCGTTGCTTTCCCGTACGGAAACCCATTTCTTTTTTATTACCCCTTTGCAACAGTTTTATTTTAAACCTTTTTTTTTTGTGCTTTTTGTTGACTTCTCAAGTAACTCATTACACATGAATGCTTAAAAAAAAAAAAAGAAAAAAATCTGAAGCCTCAGGTGAGATGAGCTCGTTCCATGTTATATCTCCCGATAAACCTCCGCTGTGGTTTTTTTTTTTTCTTCCCTTAAAGACCAAACATGTAAGGGCGAGCGTGATCCATTATTCGATCCACGCGGAGCTGTCATCGATTAATTCTCACCTGTCAATCATCGCTCAGTGGCATGTCATCCTTTAAAACCGTTGCTTACAAACTCTTTAGTCTATAAGTCGACAGAGGTCTATAAAGGTTCCCGGTTTGCAGCTCGTTGGTGATAATATGCTGGGTAGGGTTGGGATCCCTGAGCATAACTGACCATTGGTTCCTGCCACACTCTCAGACCTACAAGTGGCCCACTGTATGGTGATATCAACCCCCCTTAGGTCTGTTCTTGTCAGTTTAATAGGGGTACCAGTTGTGTAGATAGTAGATAGGCTTCTATGATAGGAATCCATCAGGCCTGTGTGTGTGTGGTAGGAAGTAAGTGAAGTGGCCACCGGGTCTCCTTTTGGTCCTCAAAATAAAAAAAAGATGACCTGCTTTCAAGTGGACATATCTAAAACCATTTAACCCCTTTAAACCGTATCTAAACCCTAAAACAAAAATGAAATATATTTCAGCCTATCAATCCTTAAAAGTGTTGGCTGCATTAGTTTCCTTTTTCAGGCTTTTGTTTTTTTTTTATTTTCAGCTGGTTACATAGTTAGTCAGGTTGAAAAAAGACACAAGCCCATCGAGCTGATAACACACTTTATGTTCCTTTATGTCTACACTCACTTCTTAATAGAAGGAGCCATGGTTGTCACAAAGACTGGACTTTAGCCATTGTTCTTCTCCATTACATGGTGCATTGATGGTACTTAAAAAAAAAAAAAAGCTCACAAAAGAGAGATAACATTGTTTGTATGTTGTCTGTTCAGCAGGAAGTATACAAGGACAGGCAATTCTGGGCGAGGTCAACAGGAATTTTCCGTACTTAGCCTGAAAAAAGGAAATGTATGCACCCACCTCATCTATGGGCTGCTAAGCTGCCATATATTACTTGTTTTTGTTTTTGGGGTTTGGATACACATTGGGGGAAATGTATCAAAACTGGTGCAAACAGAATCTGGAGCAGTTGCCCATGGCAGCCAATCAGCATCTCTCTACAGTTTGCTCAGGTGAGATTTAAAAATGAGAGATTGATGCTGATCGGCTGCCGTGCAAATCTGCTCCAGATTTTGTCTGCTCCAGTTTTGATAGACCCCCCCCGATTATGTTTTTTATTAAAATTCTGCTCAGAATTATCAAGAGAAACTTTTAAAGCCAAGTCAGCTTGTGTTCCTTCCCAACCACCAAATCAAGTTCAAACACGAGCCAATTGGGTTTTTGAAGAGAACATTCCATGGTGGTAGGCCTTGGATCTATGGTGAATG